AGCGCATTCGGAAGAGCGGACGCGTGCCGTCCTGGTTCCAGTACTGCAACTAGTTCCTGTGCTGAAAACCAAACAAAATACAGATTGCATCTGAAATGCAATCTCACTGAAGAAGCTTGAAGGTCTCACTGCAAGCCTGTGGGACAAGATGCACATGAAATTATTTGAATCAGTGTGTTGTAGGTGTTGGTTTGCTGTGTAGTCTGTACAATCTAAATGGCTGTGACCTGAGCTACAGTAGCAAGTTACCATTGATAACATGAGCTAATGCTAATGGTCTGTTGGCTAATGTAGTGAGAACTTGAAATCATCTTTTCTTTAAACTTAGTGGTAATTGTAGAAAAATAAAAAATATGGCATTTTATCGAGGAAAGATACATATCGGTTGCTCAGTTCCAGGATGGAATCTGGCTTGCTTGCTGCTTTGCCATAAGCCATTTTTGTTTGAGACTGAATTTAGCTCATGATAGCTCAAAATGAAAGAAAAAAGGCTAGCTAACTTGCTGCTTTGCCATAAGCCGTCTTTGTTTGCGACTGAATTTAGCTCATGATAGCTCAAAATGAAAGAAAAAAGGTTAGCTAACTTGCTGCTTTGACATAAGCCGTTTTATATTGTGAAAAATATACTGCTATCTTTTATCTTCACATTTATTGGCAAAAATTTTGTGTGTTATTATTTTATCTCACTACATTCCGGTTGCTTCCAAGCTTTTCTTGAAGAATAGATATTAAATTGTGAACTCATTTGAAACCCTGCGATCTTATAATGGAGAATCTATAAGAGAGTATTCAAGCATGTGTCTCTTCACACTTAAATTGTAAGAAAGTCTTTGGAATTGTATATCTATTCTATCCGAGTGGAAATAGAGACGGATGTTGGTGATGTATTGAATCTCGGTACATTGCAGGAGATCTCATCGAGATTTAATCTCGCAGAGTTTATCGAATGTATAGGAAGCATTGCATGTATATGTGGGATGAAAATTTATAGTTTAGCGTATTCAAATCTCAAACTCTAATAAGACGTGCATTGCACGTGCGTTCTTACTAGTCTATGAAATTACATATGTACTTGTTAAACCACTACCTCCGGAGGAAAGTTCCACGTGGAGCTATGGAATTCAAGTTATCTTTGTGGTATACTTGTAATCTGGTTCTTTATGCTGAATACTTCGCCCGTCTCGATGAAATAAATGGCATTCTTCTCTACCTTTCGATATGCAGGAACAAACATGTAGAAATATTTGCTAATAAAAAGTGCATGGCCGCTTAGAACGTTTTTCACCGGCACCCAATTGGCAGCGATGATATCAGCCTCGAAAACCTCCACCTTACGACTAAAGTTAACACCATAGGCAGGCCCTTGCAATTGTCGCTTCACCATGAGTAGCTTCCCACGTGACTCGAGAAAGTACGAGATGGTGGTTATGAGGCCCTTGAGTTCATAGGGCACCTCATTGTCTTCTTCACAATGGACGGCTTCAAGAATCATGCCATCGCCCGTGTCCATCATCAATTCATATGATGCAATTTTGTCGTCGTTATCACCCTCTCCACTTAGTATTCACGACTCAAGACGCGTACCACATCGATGTTGTTCCACGCATCAGAATCATCATTACCCCAGGGGTAGGTGCTTGATGCCTCGCTCGGTACCGGTAACCGTGGGTATGTTGTTATCATCGATGGAAATGGTGAGGGAGACGAGTAATCCCATACAACTTGTGTCCAAGTAACGCGACATCGATGATGTACACGAAGGGGGCTTGCTGTGGCTCGGGCAACCAAAGGCCCTTTCCCGAACGACCAAGATGACGGGGTAATTGTAGTTGTTGGTCAGAAGGGCGATGATGTCATGAGAAGTTGACCGCATGAGCACCTTGCGGATCTTGAAAAGCTCAGACACATTGCCGATGACATGACAGTGTCAAGCTCGCGGAGTGGCAATGTCTTCTCTGAGAAAGGATCGTGCAAGAGATACCTATGCCTTTTCATCGCATCAGCGCAGTCAAGAGCGATCCAGTTGTCAGAGGAGCCGACACACTTAGCGTTGTCGGGTAACGCGAGAAGGCGGCCCGAGGCGGTGTTGTCAGAGGATGCCACGACGTACGGAGCTATCCGGCAGCATAGGCAAATCCTCGTACCCCTCAAAAAAAAAAAGGCAAATCCTCGTAGAAATCGACGCGGTCGGAGGGTGTCAAGAAGGAGTCGTCCAAAAGGACAGCCCACGACATCTGCGAGGAGCGGGGACATGCTCGTGCACGGCTGAGTGAGCGGCACACGGTTCCCAGGCGGGTGTGGTCTACGGGGAACGGCAAGCGGACGATGACCAGGCCTAGAAGCTACTGCGGGAGTTCAGACCATCTGCTGACGTTGACAAGCGTGGTGATGGGGTGGAGCTGGGCGGTGGTCGAAAGGGATGGTGTCTAGGCAGTCCATCATAGATACCCCATTAGACGGCCCATCTGTAGAGGAAAGGGAGGGGGGCTGGTGGGCGAGGAGGAAGACGCGGGTGGAGGTCGCGCGGCAGACGGCGCGGAGGCGGAGGAGGGATTTGGGGGACAAGCGGACGAGGATCTCCCAGATGGTGATCTCATCCAGGAGGCTGTGGCTTGGAGGCGTCGCTCCTGCTCTAGCGACCTGCACCATGGTCGCCGGCTGTGAGCTCGTCCTGGCTCTCGATTCGTGTGCTGCTGGCCCAATAGTCTGGAATTGGGGGGTAAAGCTCACAAACGAGCTGGGCCTTTTTTTTTTTGAACAGATTTTCTTTTGCAAGAGATTAAAAAAAAAGAATATTTTTTCTTGGAGAAAATGTGCTACTGCATATGTTCGCACATGAATCACATTTTTCTTGGAGAAAATGTGCTACTAGCACTCAAAATTCATCAATTCAGACAACCGAGTTTTCTACAAGAGATGCCTTGTAAAGGGGGAACAAAACAAGAACACGTAACCAGCAACACAAAATGGGCACATAATTCATGTTCAAAAGTTCAGACTATTAGTCTACACTCTTTTCATCAAGGGCAATACGAAAAAACTGATAAGCTACAGGGACAACAAAACAAGCTATTGACACCTCAGGGCGGACTAATTTGCAGCCACAGATGGGCTTCCTTAACAAAGTAATCATGCAAGACAGAAATGTGTATGCTCGATTATCATGTTTAAGAAACTGAAACATATAATGGAGGTAACAGTGAGACTTTGGGGTACGAAAAAAAGAAGATGGCACCTAGAAGGAAAACATCTATAACAACAGGCACAATGATCTAAGGAAGGCTGATTTAGCCAACTCTCAGGATTTCAGCAATTCTTCCAAAGCTCATTACACAAGGGCATCAGAGTACACACCCAGTACTCAGCTCCCAGAGTACACAACTAGTAAAAGGTGCAGCCTGACAAGGTACTAGAACTATATCAGTACTGAAGGACATCAGGCTACAGGTGAAAATATGACAGTAACTTGCGAAGCCTGAGAAAGCAATGCAAGCAGAAGCAACCCCTAAATCACTATGCCGGAGATGAGACTGATTAACATTACAGGCATGCAATGTATATTTACTGCCAAAGCCCACCTACTAATTTATCCATGGGTGATGACTTCTTACCTAACCACTGTCCACAAGGAGATAATCTAATTTCCTAGAACAACATATTTCTTTTCATAGGAAAATATAACTGCTTGCAAGGTGATAGGTATAAGCGTGTATACATGTGCAGAGTCTCCCATAACGGTTATCTTAGTCTCCATGCCTAACCAGATACAATGGATTCATTAACAATAACTGACTATGGTACACACATTTAATTTAAGTAAAAGTGCTCCCAGCTCTTCTCAAAATCAGGTACAAATTGCACGTCGACAGATATGACAGTTTGCTTCTACAACTGGATTGCCCACAAAATTTCTGGCACAGTCCTATCCTTAATAAGACTTAAGACATGGTGATTTTGCTTTCGATTATTGGTAATCAAAATGGTCTAGGGCTACTTACAGTTGAAAATGATCAAAGCTCATGAATGGCAGTAGTGCAGTGTGCCAATAGGAAGAAAATATGGGATCTGAGCCTGGCTATGACCATGAACCAGTTACATGAAGCATTCCTTAAAATGGTTTGCACCTAAAGTAATAAAGATATTCTAAACAAGCTGACAGAAAGGCATCGTAGCACAAAATGAACCTTCTCTTCAGATTACTGAATGGATTGAGCAATGTTGCAAAAGGAGATTGTTTCTACTTGGCAGTACAACAGTTTATTTTTCTTAGGAAGAAAAATTACGAGCTCTGCTTGCAAGAAAACAAATATGACCATGTCTGCTAGCATGGACACTTGCTTTAATGGTGAGCTTAATATATATACCTAAACAGATGCAATGGGTTCATGAAAAGAAACTGACTCTGACCCAATCATTTAATTTAAGTAGTAGTGCTCCATGCTTTCAGATGCATGTCAACTTAGAGCACACTCTGACGCATTTCACCACTAGCAAGAACAAAACAAGGAAACAGGAAACGAATGTAGATTGCTAAACAATGACCATTAGGAAGACCAATAGATAATCTCACAGAAAAAGAAGACCTATATAAGAAGGCAAAGCCAATTCTTCAGTTCATGAAACGGAGCCACCAGGAAGGTAGATTGCTTGCTAGTAAGCAGTAAGAAGACCCCTAGAGGCCTAGATAAAAAGCCAAATTCAGTTTCCAGTTCTAGAAAATAGAGACATGGGGCATATTAATTAGCAAATATTTCAAACACACACCAAATGACTTGGTACTTTTGGCATCAACATGCACAATAATCCCTTCATGCAAAAAGTGTATCGAAACAAGCATAGATTTCATGCAACTATGTAACAGCCAGAGCTTCTTGACTAGAATTTGGTAAGCATCAGCAAAGAAGAAACTAGGCTCATAGTGGACCAAATTCATACATATTGCAGGTCATGCAGATACAAACATCTAGGACATTAAGAAGCAGCGGCTCACTAGAAACCTGTCATATGAAAGGCAAAGCATTCACAGCATAACCTTCCAGTGTCGGAAAAAAGGTATGTGAAACTAGACTTTGTTTGAGCCAATGTGGAGTAGGATTAAGGCCTCTGTGATGGAAACCGGCAACCACCTTGCCATCGATGTCAATCTGAAGTAGATGGTCGTCAGGTTTCAACAGCACAAGCACACCACCATCCCAAGGCGCGGCCAAATAATCCCAGTAACTTTGAATCTGCAACTCGACCCAGTATTTCAAGGCCCAGACCTCAGTCTCGTAGTCCTGCATCAGCCAGATATCAATGGATGTGATTGTGGCTGCACCAGTGAGGCTCGAGAGGCCGAGCATTCCATCCGTCTCAAACAGGTCAACTCTGAAAAGATCATCCGGAGCACGCATCTGCCGGAACGACTCAACTGTGGTGTCGAATACCATCATCACGTTGCTCTCGCTCTCATCTGCCTCATACTGCATAAGGTGCCAATGCAGGTTGCCATGTAACAGGACAGATGGGGGGCCGCATGTGAGTAGCTCTGCATCCGGCCACCGTATGAGCCTGGGCGGCTGGCCGGAGCCTAAAGTGAAGACGTAGGAGCCATCTTGGCCTTCAGTTACCGGAGTTGGCCTCAACAGTTGGCTCTTGTACAGCAACAGTCGGTGCTCCCCGGTTGGGCCGTGCAGATACTGTTAGGTTGATCTCTATCCCGTTCGAACCCAACGGGTCGAACGGGCCCCTGACTCGCGCCCTGATCGGGGGCGCCCAACCAAACAATGGTTGGTGGGCCCCTGCCGCCAGCGCAATATAAAGAGGTGGGGTGCCGGGGCACGGATTACGAGGTTGACCGTGCACCACAACACCACCGACACACCAATCCGATCTAGGGTTTGCGCTAGGCCGACGGGAAGCTCCGCCGCCACCACCTCGCCCACACTCCGCCATCACCATGGCCGGTGCTGGATCGAGTTCATCCGCACCAGGAGAAGATAGGTTACCGGATCTACTAGCCTACTCCGATCACAAGGTTCTATCAATGGTATTAGATAGCCAGATCGGGCTAGAAGATTTTCAGTAAAAGAATACATCAAAGAAACAGAAAGAAATCCCCTTTTCCCCATGAACCCTAGATAGGGCAGAGTAAAGAAAACCCCCAAAAGAACAAAGTTGCGCCGCTGCACATAGCCGCGTCGTTCCTCTCGATCCCGAATCGCATCGGCACGCCGAGGATCCGGGAAGAAGAACCACCCCACGGGGCAAAGGGCACCACCGCCGAGCCGTTTGACGGCGGCGCGTTCACCTTCGAGGTGCTCGCACTCGCCGGCAAAGGGGTCTGCGGGGGCGCCGCATCGGAAAGTCACCGGATCCCTCTCTCTCTATGGCTGTGGGGGATGAACAGAGAACTGGAAAGGGAAAGGGGGCTCGCGCTGGGGCGGCTCGCCGCCGTCGCCGGCGGCCGGAGCACACCCGCGTCCCTCTCTGCCACTGGCGCGCGTAGGTCAGAGAGAAAAGAGAGAGGCGCCCCGGGGAGAAGGGAGCAGAGGCGCGCAAGGCGCGGTGGCCCTCGCCGCCGTCACCGGTGGCCGGGGCGCAGTCCCCTGCATCGCCGTCGGGAGAGACCGAGCGAGCAGAGAGAAACAGATCGATTAGAGAGTGGGGGCGCTAGGGTTGGACTGGGATCGGACTCTCTGTTTTGTTCCATCGAAATCAGCGGACAGCCGTCAATCGTGATGAACGGTCCAGATGAAAACCCTAGCCTCCCACTAGCCTTTTGGGCTGAAAGTGACCACGGGCCAGGCCGAAGCAGGTCGTTTCACGCCGGGTCGAGGTTGCTCGGCGCGCTCGCGCCCGCGAGGAAGCAGGTCGTGGACCGTTGCGCCCGCGCTGGGCCAAGGCCGACGCACCCTGCAGTTTTTCCTTTTTTCTGTTTGTCTGTCCAGTGTTTTGGACAGATTGAAAATAGTTTTTTCTATGCAAAGCTTTTTCCAACGAAATATTTTGTTTAGAAAACAGAAAAGTAGAAAAGTTTCTGGAAATATAAAATAAAATTTTCAGAAAAAGAAATGTTCATGAATTTTACAGAGATAATAATAAAGTTCATGAATTTTTATTTTTTATCAAAGAAAAGTTTCTGTAAAAGTAAAAAGTTCATGAATTTTTTATTCACGTTTTTCCGCTGCGTAAATAATTATTAGTGCTCTTTTAAAAGAAAATAAAAGTTTAGATAGAATTATGGTTTAAGAGCATGTTAAAGTAATTATTGAAATGAATATGATTATGTTATTTTTATGACCAACGTTGTTAATAACATGATCATGTTTTATTATTGAAATTTAAAGGTGCATTTATTTCTAATATTTTGCCCAACGGTAATATAGATTTAATTGCATAGACAATTGTATGTTTAATTTGACCAACGTTAAATTATTGCATATGATTGTTTTATTGATGTCACTTAAATTGTGATTTCAGGAGGCTTTCACTTGATGAGTTGCCTAAAAGAAGTTCCGACACTTAGAGGTGACAACCACACTGAGTGGAGGAAGAAAATTGAACTGGCATTTATTTGTGCTGATCTTGACTGGGTTGTGGTGAAACCACAGCCGGTCAGACCCACAGAGCCAGTAAAAGAGGCCACTGATGATGATGCTGCATGGGCTAAAAAGAAGGGGGACTATGCTCCTTTGGAGCAGTCCTACCTCATAGATAACCAAAAGTGGGTCAATGCAAACAAAAAGTGCATGGCTTTTATAAAGAATACAATTGAGAGCGCCATTGTGGGCTCCATTCCAGAGTGCACTTCCGCAGGGGAGTTGCTTACAAAGATAAAGAGCCAGTTCACTGGCTCTTCAAAGATCTATGCCACCCAGGTGTTAGAGCAACTGGTGACAGAACGCTACACAGGTGGTAGTCGTGGAATAAGAGAGCATATCCTCAGGATGAGTAATATGGCAGCAAAGCTCAAGCCCATGGATGCGGATCTGGAGATCAAACCAGCACTCCTGGTCCACCTGGTCATGGCTTCACTGCCACAGGAGTTTACAACTTTTGTTGTAAACTATAATATGTCACCTGGAACATGGGACATTGAAAAGACAATAGCAATGTGTGTCCAAGAAGAGGACAGACTCAAAGCCGCGCATGATGGTTCAATCAACTATGTGAAGGATTGGAAGAAAAAGAACTACAATCAAAACAACAAAAGTTCTCCTTCAAAGAATGGAAAAGCCCCCTATCAGCATCAACAACAGCCTTTCTCAGTGGACAAAGACACGTGTCTCCACTGCAAGCAAAAAGGGCATTACAAGAAAGACTGCGCTGCTTGGCTGAAGTCAGTCATGGCAAAAAGAGGTAACAATGTAGTTTCATTTGTAAATGAATCCTTGTATACACAGTTTTCAAAATCCACTTGGTGGATTGATTCAGGAGCAACTGTTCATGTTGCAAATTCTTTACAGGGATTCCATTCGACGCGAACTACGCTAAGAAGCGAAAGACGCATTGAAGTGGCAAACGGAGTTGAAGCAGAAGTTGAAGCTGTCGGTGACATCTCCTTGGAGTTAGCTGGCGGATTCAATCTTCTACTTAGAGATGTTTTATTTGTTCCATCATGTCATAGAAACTTAATTAGTGTTTCTTGTTTGGACAAAGATAATTATGAATGTCATTTTGGACATGGCAAGTGTGCCATTTGGTATAATAATGCTTATGTGGGTGATGCTTTACTCCATGATGAGCCTTATTTGTTATCACTTCGTAAAAAAGTTTATTCCGTTTGCAATGTGAAAGAAAATGTTTCCGCGTCGAATAAAGAGCAAAAGAAAAGAAAAAGAACATTCGACTCATCGAAACTATGGCACTGTCGCTTGGGCCATATTTCGAAGGGGAGAATAGAAAGATTAGTCAAAAGTGAAATTCTTCCTTCGTTAGAATTTTCAGACTTAGAACAATGCATAGATTGCATTAAAGGAAAGTACGTAAAACAAATCAAAAAAGGTGCAGTCCATAGCACAGGCACACTAGAAATCATCCACACTGATATTTGTGGACCATTTCCGGTGAAAAGTGTGGATGGATATGACTCGTTCATAACATTCACAGATGATTACTCTCGCTATGGATATATTTATCCAATCAAAGAAAGATATGAAGCGTTGGATAAATTTAAAATATTCAAAGCTGAAGTTGAAAATCAGCATGATAAAAGAATAAATATAGTTAGGTCCGACCGTGGGGGAGAGTACTACGGTCGGCACACTCCATATGGCCAAGTCCCTGGACCTTTTGCAAAGTTCTTGCAGGAGACTGGCATAGTTGCCCAGTATTCAATGCCGGGCGAACCTCAGCAAAATAGAGTAGCTGAAAGGCGCAACCGTACACTTATGGATATGGTGCGCAGCATGATGAGTTATTCCAACTTGCCATTGGGATTATGGATGGAGGCGCTTAAAACCGCCATTCACATTCTCAATAGAGTACCAAGCAAGTCGGTGCCCAAAACACCGTACGAGCTATGGACAGGAAGGGTGCCATCCCTAGAACACTTCAGGGTGTGGGGTGCCCTGCTGAGGCCAAAATGTTTAATCCAAACATTGGAAAGTTAGATCCCAAAACAGTGAGTTGCCACTTCATTGGCTATCCAGACAGATCAAAGGGTTTTCGTTTCTACTGCCCAAACAGATATACAAAGTTTGTAGAAACGAGACATGAAGTCTTCTTAGAGGACGAAATGATGAGGGGGAGCTTGGTAGCTCGGAAAATTGATCTTGAGGAGAAGAGGGTGCATGCACCTAATCCGATGATCCAGGAGCCATTTTTCTCACTACCAGTTGCAACTCCACCCATGACAACTATGGGGGCAGACCCGGAACCTGTCCGTCAGGAGCCGACTGAACCCGTTGTTGAGCATGAAAGGGAGGTGCAACAGCAAATTTTAGAAGAAGTACCAGCGGTTGAGGCACAGAATGTGCCAGAAACTAAGGCCCTTAGAAGGTCTACAAGACCAAGAAAGTCAGCTATTTCTACTGACTTTAAAGTTTATAACACAGAAATGGTTCATATGGAAAAAGATCCCACCTCATATGAAGAAGCCATGAGAAGCCCTCATTCATCGATGTGGATGAGGGCAATGGTAGACGAGATGAAATCAATGAGTTCCAAAGATGTTTGGGACTTAGAGGAAATTCCTAAAGGAGCCAAATCAGTAGGCTGCAAATGGGTTTACAAAATTAAGTATGACTCTAAAGGGAATATAGAAAAATATAAAGCACGATTCGTGGCAAAAGGATTTACACAAAGAGAAGGGATAGATTACAAAGAGACATTTTCTCCGGTCTCATGTAAGGATTCCTTCATAATTATAATGGCATTAGTTGCTCATTTTGATTTAGAGTTACATCAAATGGATGTAAAGACGACATTTCTCAACGGAGATTTAAAGGAAAATGTCTACATGAAACAGCCCAAGGGTTTTATCATG